GTCCACACATCTTCAAGTTGCCAAGGTTGAGAAACACTGATCTATTCATTCTTAATCCTGATAGCTAAAAATGGAACATCCACTGTCAGGAGGAATCTGCCTGAAGATTCCAGCTGCTAAATTGGGAGGACCGTTGGCCTAATCCAGCTGGGCTGTTGAAATGTTCTCATGTTCTTATTTGGACAAGCACCCAGACGTCATGAATATGCAAATCTCAATGCAAATAAAGTGTTTGGGGCAATCTAAGCCCCAACCACTCCAGGTTGCAGCTTTTCTGTTTCCTTTAGACCCAGCTCTGCCTTCCCCCATGCGTTTGGCTTCCCGGGGCGGCCCCCGGTCTTTCTTTCATGTTTCTGATCCTGGGCACTGGACAGCCAGCATAAACAGCAGCCACCTCAAAAGCACGCTGAAACGCTTGTTGATCTTGACACAGGAACTGAGGGTCGAAAGAAAGAGGAAGGGTGTGATTTCTTCTAAAATTATATAGGCATATCACAGCTTTAAAAAAAAGAAACTCCTTAAAAAGAGCTTTTTTTTCTGTATTTTGCTGCAGTTGGGGTTTTCAGGGAAAAAGCATGCAAGCAAGCAAAATCCCTTGAGTGAGAGGGGGTTTCAAAGGCAGAGAAGTATAAATCTTAACAAAAGAAGCAGCACACGCTTCTGGGAGGCTACGTTTCGTAGAAAACTCAGCTGCTTCTGGCCCATTCTAGACCAGAGACCTGATCGTTGGACCCATTTCCAACACTAGACCTCAAGAAGTAGTGACTGGTGTTGCTCCATGGTGCATTCCTTCCAGTTTTCTTCCAAGAATTGCTTAATAGACCATGCCCACAGAAGACACATTCTTCCAGGCCTGTTCTGTCTGAAGCTTGCATGCTGAGTTTTATTTTTTCAATAACTTGCATGCTTTTGGAAAACCCTAGGGTCCCCAAGCAAGTTGATTGCTCTCCCTTTCTGGGGTTGACGGTGCCACTAAGCCACATGAGGACCAGCTTTGCAGAATCTGTGAGCTGTTTGTGTATATCTCAATCTTCCCCGTTCCAGATTTTGCTGGCTAGAAATTCTGGGAGTTGTCGTTCTCAGACAGCAGGAGAACTGGGGGAGGTTGGGGGAAGCCTGGCTTGATCTGAAGCAGTGTTTCTCAACCATGGCGACTTGAAGTTGTGTGGACTTCAACTCCCAGAATTCCCCAGCC